TGTATCTTTTAAGAAACTCACAAATAAATGTTCTTGGGTTGTAACCCATGAGTGACTCGATTTCATGACAAAGATGAAGCCGAGTGCAAAGAGGCCTTCACAACCGGACTTACAGTCAGCACAGAGGCTAAGGCTGCAAAACCATAAAAGCTTCTTCTCTGATCTTGATATTGTAGAGAATTACTGAATCTTACAATAAAGTAAATCCTCAGTACTTTGCAAAATGTGGCTATAGTTGCGTTTATGTATGATGGTAGATGTGACTTTTTGCTACTTGCCGTCAGATCATTTGGGCATGTGCCAACAGAAATATTTCTGGGATATAAAACAGGAGTAGCACAGTCTGAGATTTCCTGTAAATCTTGCTTTTGCCAAACAAATACAAACGTGTAAGTTTTGCAGACATAATGTGTATAGTTCATCAGACATATCAAGGCTTTACTTCCAGAAACAAATCTCTTACTCGGTGAAGTTAAAATCCACCTTCAGATTATCTTCACACACTTCATCAGCTCCACAGCTGATCTCAAACCCAATCTGTGGATGACAGTAAACTATTAAACAGATCTACTCAGAGAAAAATTCACATTTAGGTCAATCATATGTTTTTCAAATTACTTTGTGATATAATGTTTTGTATGAAACGGTCATATTATTAACCATGAAAGGAACTCATCAAATGTAATGGAAAGGTTAAAGCTCAGTAAAGATCTTTCTGTTCAGATTCAGGATGTACAGGATTTACTCACAGGATGAAATGTTGTGGTTTTAACCTGTGGAGAAAGGCTTGGTCTGGGGTTTGAGCCAGAAGACAAACCATCAAACATGAATCTGAGCTCATTATTGAGTGGATTGAGAGCATCTTCTGGACAAGACTGGAAGACATTGAGATAGAAAGATGATTAATTAATAAACTGTTGAATATTATATAGTTGTATAAGATTGCTGTAACGGTTCCATTAGGACTTACCTCAATTCTGAAGTCCACATAAGCGCAGTTTTTCCTATTTAATATAAGATTAAGCGATCCACTCTTGTGCCTCACATCCTGGCTGATCTCAGCTCGGTTGTTTGGTATCTTACGATTTGCGTCCAAAGTTAAAGTGAAAT